CTACTTCACTCTTAACTCGTACTTTACTGTGTCTCTCTTCTATTCTTTTACTCTTTTCCTCTTTTTTTCTGATACGTAGGCTGCTTATAAATATGACGTCTACACTCTAAAATAAACGTATACTACAAAACCAAACAGGATACTTGCATGTACAACTATACGAAACGCATGTTCGTTTTACATTTCGAATGCAAAAGTCCCTTCCGTTTTTTCAAGCATAACTGGTTGGATTTGATTTATTTTCACTTTAAAACTTGGTAAGGTAATATTCATTTTCTCAAGCGTTATTAAGTAGTCATCCTATTCTTTGTGCTTAGCTCCTTACTGAGATTGTACGCTTTCATCTGTGTAAAAAATTCCAAGTAAGAGATCTTCGAAGTGAAACAGTGTTCCCAGCAAAAACACAACTCGCAGGTTTCTCTCTCCGTCTATTGCGTTTCCTTCCATGCTTTCGCTTGAACATTTGATCCAAGATGAAAGTACAGTTTTCGCAATACTTTTCTATCAATCAATGTGTATCTCTATGTTTAACTCTTTCGAAGATGATATTATGCAATAGCTTGATTATTTAGGGTTAACGGCTGTAACTAATCTGCGCTGTGTCACCGTTTCTAACATCCTTTCTTTTCAAACTAAGCCTGTATGTTCGAAGTTTAAATCGAATACAAATGCCAGCCTTTCAGTTGTTAAGGCTGTACAGTAGTTTTTAGAGCGAGTACCTGATATTCGAAGCGTAGGTTCTAGTCTTGCAGCTATATCACTTATTTTTGTCTCATTCATCGAATTTGTATAAAAAGACCGTATAACGTTAACTATGATACGGGTGATGTAATTACACAGTACCTGTTATTTAGTTTATGATGATACCTTTAAAACAGAAGATGTTTTCTTTGGAAAACCATATTGAACGATAGAAAGACCATATTGAAGGAAAGCGGAATTCGACACCTGAGAACGTTCCAGTATATCGTTGTTCATCTTGAATACAGCTTTATGATATCATCGAAACTCGGCTAGCAATAACCGAACGAGTCTTCCGTTCTCACTGCACATGTCGCATTGAACCTTGTTCGAAATAACAATTCAATACCACTATCCCGTTTTACTTCGAAAGATCTGTTCGAACAAAAATATTTTCCTTGATCGATCTTCCCGGTTTCTTGGAAAGTGGCGTTCAAATTTCGAAAGATATGAAACCAAGAGGTGATGTACTGTTCCGAGAGTTTATAAGTAGATGGATACATAGAAATTGCAATTGCGTAAGGGGTGCTTCACGAAACGAAAAAAAATACTTTGTAACGGAAAATCGGGTGGAACAGGAGAACATTTGAAAGAGAATGCGGCGTTACCGACGTGAATAACCTGGAGAATTTATCTTGCGCTTTTATTAGTAATGAAAAAAGAGAATTGCAGATTTACATTTGAACCAAAAAGACAATGTTATATTCGAAATCAGAAAAACTGCATCGAATGATATATGAAACCAACATTTTATAAAAAATTTGGGGCAAGGATACCACTCAAAGATATTCTCAACAAACTCTTTTTTGCTCTGGAGTGACTCTCTGAGGGATAGTCAGTTATATTGAGGTGCAGACGATCAAGACAGTGACATTTTCGCCTGGCAGGGAAAGAGTGCACATGGTGGAGTGGCATGGTTTTGGTTTGTCTTCAACCGGTAGATCATTTTTGTATCGTTTGATGATCGAATCAATGGTGGAATTCTTTTGTTCATCAAGCAATTTTACTCATCCGACCAGATCCGTAGAATACATCTGCTGTCGGAGATTAATTTTTTTCGGGACACTAATATTCGTGTCTGGCATATCTTTGATATGAATGGAAAGAAAAAAGACAGGGGACACACTGGAAAAAGTAGACCACGTGCGCAGAACGTACGTCGCATGCGCACATTTTCTTCGCTTCGACATTCTGTCCAGATACTTTTTGTCACTCGTTATTTTCAATTTCATTTTACATAAGACATAAGTTTCAGATAGCAAGAAGTAATGTAATTTTAAATGCTTGTACCTTATGCATTTCTGAATCATTAAAATCCAAAACATTGTGTGAAAAAAAAACGGTATGTTCTGACATGTGAAATTTTGATGATCTACAGGAAGTAGAAGACAAAATTTGAAATTACATTGCTACTTACTGTCTCAATATATATTTTTCCTCGTAACAGGAAGCGAATTCTGCATCATCATTACTCACTGACCACGACCTCGTCATGACTGAGTACATCACATCGCACGTTTCAATGTTAAAAGATCATTGGAATCTAAAAATCATTTGTTATGTGGAAAGAAATGCATGTTTAAAGCTTGTCTCGTAACTTAGAAGTTAGAGCATTGACTTATCGTCGACGCATGCATTTTGCTTTTCATATAATGCTGGATTTTAACGATATAAAGAAAGTACACGGTAAAAAATTTAAAAAGAAATGCTTCTATTTCACAACATTTATACAAACCCAAATTGCATAATGCTATATGTCGCATTGCTAACATAATAAAAGGCTTTTAAAGAAAAACCAGATAGTACAAAATTGGATAAATTTCCCTTTTCGGAGAGAAAATTTTGAAGATCACCTCGGTTAGAAATACAGTATTCATTCAAAAACTAAAAAACAAGTCTAAATGTTTCATTCAGAAGACCAGCAAAAATTTTTTCAAGGCTCAAGGTTCTTCAGAAAGTTATCCGATTACGTCATTACTATAGATAACAGTTCATCTTCTGTTAAACTTACTCTATTCAACATTCAAACAGAACTGCTCAAGCAGGCAAAAAAATCGTGAAGCTGGCGCTTGCAGCTGCCTGACCCAATTTTTAACTATCAAAGCTAGCTTAAGTGAGTTGAAGCTAGCTGACGTGTTTGAATTCAACGCTAATCGCTGAATTAAGCGCCCACTGGATCGGACGCTTACAGTTAGCAAATGGGCACCTGCTCGGCGCAGCTAGCTATTTGATCCAAAAAATCTATTATTAAGCGGGCGCTTGAGCTGTTTTATAGGCTAGATTTCCTTGCTTACTTTTTTCAGCCTGGGTGATTACAGGTTGTCCAATGTTAATTATTTTTATTTAGAATAAACAAGGAGTATTGTTTATGAAACAAATTCTACAGAAAGAAATACTTTAACCTCTTCTTAAATTAACATTTGGAGTAATGAAATATGTTTTTGATACGTGGGCAAGTACCTATTTTGAACCACGAGATCCTGATAAAGATGAAGTTATTGAAGATTCCGGCGATGAAGACGAATCATGGTAAATAAATAACAGTTAAATTTTTCTTATTTTATTATCTTAATCGAAGAAAACAGAATATTAAAAAACAGATTTCCTCTTGTTTATTCTTATTTTATTTTAAAGTACGGAGCTCGATCAACATAATAAAGCAAAATTAAGAAAAATATGTAATAAAGAAAAATAAAGAAAAATATGTCTGTTCAAATTTTGATCGTAATATATTGACTTATCGGTTATGAGATGAGGGTGTAATTACGGCATGTGCTATAAATATTCCTGTTTTGAGCGTCCATTATTGGAATTGTATATGTAACGAAAAATATTAAAATTCATATTGTCCGTTAATGATGATAAATTTTATTTTTTATAATAATAGTTTAATAAAAAATAAAAGGTTAATCATACATTTTGACATTCTTTTTTGTTGTTCACTGAATTTCAGTTCTTCAACATTCTCAATCCTCTCAACTTTTCGTATTTTCTTCAAAGATTAGAAAAGCTCATTATATTTTGGTATCATTATTGCATATTGGATATAAGACCACAGCCCGCGAGCAGATCTCGAAAATCTGAATAAACAGTTCGATTCAGAATATTTTTCTCGCGCCCGTTTCTACGTACAACTATTTTATTTGTATACCAACCAATAGAAACTCAAGATGGCTGACATGTCTAAAATTATACTAAACCGCTTGCTTTACTCAAAAATAATGCAAAAAAGTGGAATTTCTTGCATAATTGCTGAACAAAAGCCCTAATTACATCTTCCCGCAAAATGTGAGATAAACAGGTTTGAGCGCGCACGCTAAATAGCTCTAATTACTTGTTTTCGCTCTAGTATAGTTGTATGTCAGAAGGTCATCATCACAAACTATCAAAACATTTTCGGAAATTTACGGAAAAGCAGCGAAAAAAGCTGGTTTTTTTACGAGGAGTTCAGTTTTAGTCAATACTGTTTTCTTTGTAGCATTGTTCTGCATTTTTGCGGGGATTGTGAGAAAATCACACATACGGTTTCTTATAACTCATATTAAGCACCCCTACATGATACGAATTTTCATAAAGAATATTTTTTAAGATGCATTTTTGTCAGTGAGTAGCTACAGAAAAAGTCGATCTTTAATTTATTTTATTGAGTAATTTGCCTTTTGCCTTAAAACCATACGCAGTATAAAAGAAGAACCTTTATTTTATATCGGAAAAGCTCTAAAAAATGCCTAATATGCGAATTGGATATTAACTTCCTTTTCTAAAAATACCTCAAAAATGCTCATTTTTTTATAATGCATTTTATTATAAATTCTACAACTAAAATTAATTAAAACACACAGAAAGAATAAGAAAGAAAAATGTGAATTTCACGCAGAAAAGAAAATTCGTATATCTCTCGTGGTATCTCAGTTTGAGAGAAAGCTCATCAGTTAAAGAGTAATGAGAAGTATATTTGTTTGGTATGATGATCTATTTTAAGCAATACCAATCTGTAATGTACAATTAGCTCAAATCATAGATACTTGTCTTTAGGCTTCCCGAAAATCAAACGTAAAATCGAAACGAATAAAAATCAAGGTCTCGCTTGACTCTCATTTCCATCCCAAAGTCAATACTATCATTTCAACAGTTTGAAGACCAATACTGCTTTTCACAGATTCTCTACCTCAGTTTTATGAAAACCCTCTATCAACTCTTTGAACACACAGCTAGAAAGTGCTTCGAACGCCGATTTTAAATCATCTCTTCTTCTTCTTTCAACACTTCATTCGTTTGTCAGCGATGGATGTTGCAATTGCCTTTGATATATTATTATTCCAAATTCTCAGCTCATTCAGTGTTTTATTGATCTTCAATGCATCAGCGATGGATGTTGCACCTTCATCTGATATATTATTATTCGAAATATACAGCCCAGTCAGTGTTTTATTGATCTTCAATGCATCAGCGATGGATGTTGCACCTTCATTCCATATATTATTATTCGAAATATCCAGGTACGACAGCACATGATTTAGCTTTAATGCATCAGCGATGGATGTTGCACCTTCATTCGAAATATTATTATTCGAAATATTTAGAGCATCGAGTGTTTTGTTGATCTTCAACGCATCAGCGATGGCTGTTGCACCTTCATTCGAAATATTATTATTCGAAATATTTAGAGCATCGAGTGTTTTATTGATCTTCAATGCATCAGCGATGGCTGTTGCACCTTCATTAGATATATTACTATTCGAAAAATACAGCTCAGTCACTGTTGTATTGCTCTTCAATGCATTAACGACTGCGCGTGCGTCTTCTGCTGTTAAATGTTTGTTGGATAGATCACAGAAACGTTCGTTATCCATGTCATTTATGATAGTTAAATAAATGCGATGTTTATTGTTATCCGTGTCGGATTCAACGGTAATAATTTTAAACTCTGTTCCAGCAGGAAGTAGAACTTCCTCTTCATCTGGGTAACATGAATATGATGAGATATCAAAGCCACCTGTCTTAGTCTTTGTTAGATCTATGATAAACAACGCGTTTCCACACATTTCCGCTTTTTGACGATTTTTGCTTGTTGAAGAAAATCCATACCAACACTTGTATGTGCCGATAGCTTCTTTATAACAGGCAATCATTTCTGGATCGAGTTTGACACCACGGTAGACCTCCATTTTATATTGATTCTTAGAGTTATTTGACCACGAATCAAATAAGAAGTAGCAGAATGGCGCGAGCGTGTCTATTTTAGTTGCATCATTTTCTCTCAACGTTTCATTCACTAATTTGTATAGAAAACAGTCTTTGGAATAGAGATTAATGCAACACTTACGAATTTCTTCTATGTCTTTATTTTTCACAGTTTGCAATTGCTTGGCAATCCATTGGGATTCACACTTTTCGCCTAGTCGATTTCCTTCGAAGATGATTCCATTTGCTGCTTGTTCTACTTTGTCACTATTAGAAACCTTTTTATTTATTCTTTTCCAGAAGAATAAAAACGTTTTGTTTTTCTCCTCCCACTCCTTAATAAAGCCATGATAACCGCCATCCAAACGATCCTCGTTGAAGGGCTTCTTTAATGGTTCTGGGAAATAGAATCTCTCTTCTCGTAAAGATTGATTTTCATTTCTATCGATTAATATTCGTTTTATTTGTCTTCGTTTATTTTGATCGTGTTTACTGATTTGAATCGAGCCATTTAAGTCAATCCAATAGTTATCCAATTCAACTAAATGTTTGTTTGTCTTTTGGTTAAATGCTTCTTCAATGATGTCGGATTGAATATCCGAATATCTTCTCCATTCTTCCTTTTCATTGACCGACCAGGGATCGGAATTCGATTTCCAGTACCATTGAGCTTGTGAGTGATGAGTTCCTTGCATCAGCTGATTTGTCGTTGATTAGATCAATTCGAAGTGATTCCTATTGGAAATGTCTGTTGAAGTAAAAAGAATTCAGTAAGCTTAAAGCAAGAACCTTGTGTAGCTGAAGAAACACTTGTTCAGGCTTATGATCACTTCTCTGAGTTCTTTTATAGGCGATATTTCACTAGACGTTTTAGGGCTGGAAGAAAACTTGACACTTCATGGTTTACCTTGAGAGTAAATGCTCTGCTCTTGAAGACAAGAGTTGTTGTGTATACTTTAAAACTCCTCGTCATTGTTCGTACAGGCTATTGTTTTGGTTTGACAAAGAATTGTTTGAACTGCTCAAATTTGAGTGATTACATCATTGAATGGAGCTCAGCCGCTTTTTGAAATGTTCATTGTGCACGTTTCCTATTAATCTCTTATTCTTTGAAAACTGAAAAGTTTGTTTATTCCTTTGTCATCTGCTATTTACTTTACTTTTCACTTCATCAAGAAAATAGAAGCAATGATAAGAAACTTCAACACGCATATATGCGTGTCCCGGCACCAAAGGGTTAAGGACAGTGTGAGTCCATATAGTTTCCAATTATTTATGTACTAATTGATAGAGGATAGTGAATAAGTAAAAGCTCCACTTTGCGCCCTTGTGATTTCCTTCTCGCATCATGGTTAAGTCTGTGAAATTTGAGTGTTTTGTATTTTGAACGTAGCAGACTTCTACAAGGTGTTGAAGAGCTGACGCTCACGTCAGTAATGGTTCAGTTAGAGCTTCCCCTAAGCTTGAAAATTTTAGCCTTTAGTCTTATGTCTATCGTGATAAATCGAATTTAATGACTCTCTCAGTAGGCTGAGTGCGTTTTTTGTCTCTGAAAAAACAGAGGTATCTTCACTTATTTAGCGGTGGTTAACCCTCGCCGCATCGCAATAAAACAAACATGTCTCCTGTGACAAACATTCTAACTGCATTTGTGCTCACAGCTCTTCTTCTCACGAAACATACAGGTTAGTTTGCTTTAAAGTCTTTCTATCTTCTCAATCACGCACGTGTCTCATCTCTTCTTTTGACAGCTGTACCTAACCTTCATGCTAAACTCGAAGCCCTCAGTTGCCAATCTTCCCCATGTACAAAGAAAAATTCAACATGTGATGGTCTCTTCTACATGCAACGAATTCCATCGTCACACTGTTCCATCGTCAAGTTATACGCGAACTGACTATGTACATGTTTTTGAACCAGCATCATACGTAAAGAATCCAGTGCTATTGAAATAATAGGAAGTGTTACCTGCACTAACAATAGGCAGCTGATTTGCATCATCCATGATCAATGTAGAAGTTGTCACCAAGTGTGATGCTTTGATTGCAAAGATACTGTGTCCATAATTACTTGGTAATGGATGAGGTAATTTATGAGCATTTGGATTCTTATTTGGACATTTGTTGCTCTTTTTACTTGTACAGATTTTACAATGTCCAGTATTTTTGCCTTTAATTTCGGAAGTAAACTTGTAATGGTGAAGTACACGAATGGTGGCTTATTATTCTTCAGACCTTGTGTCGCGGGGAAAGGAGCACCAGAGAGTATAATAACCATTGCATATAATTTGTTATTCAAAGCATTGACGTGCAACACGGCCAATTGTGTATGTGGCTTACGAGGGAACGTTCTCAGGTGTCGGATTCCGATTTCCTTCGTTCATATGCTGATCGATAGGTCATATGGAGATATGAAAAAGCCTAAAAGGATAGCGGCGCAATTTGCTTCCTTCATAAGTTATACGCGTTTTTCTAATTTCCCAGCGGAAAATCCAAGAAATTGAAAAATTCATAACTCCGTCAAATTTTTGAGTATCCGCTTGAAAATTTTACACAAGATATCTACTCTAATCTAGTATTTACGCTGAAAGTTTCAGCCTTCAAACATGTTTCATTTCAGAGATATGGAATTTTTCGTGTTTCAAGGAATAGCTGTCATTATTACCTCATCGCTTCGAGAGTTATTTGTGCTTATATTTATTTATGTTCAGCTTTTGAGAACTTTTCTGAATCACTGGCGCTCACTGTATTTTTGAAAAATTCGTATGTTGTTTCGTCAATTTCGTCTAACTTCTGCTTCTTCCTGCCGCCTGACACAAGATATTTCCTGAAACGAGTGATGTAAGTGTCATCTGTCACACGTTTGAACTTATTGCGAAAGGCTTGCCAGGAATGAATTCGTGTTCCCGTCTTTGGATTTGTTCCGTCATAATACTGTCACTGTAATTCAAAATGAAATTGCTAATAATTCAGATGCAATCAGTGCACTCATCTGTATGTTTGGATTAATGAAAATAAATACATCAAATATTGTACCTGTATGTTTAGAAGCACAAAATTTGATTACTATTGTATTACGATCATTTCTCACACACATCAGTAGTGTACTTGATCAACATCCAGATCCATATTATATAGATTCCGGTTTAGTGAATCTATTATTTATTGAAATACTATCGAATGATACCAAAAATGCCGATAGTGATACTATATTTGTATTACGCCGACTGTCGATTTGTCAACGCGCTGTTGTCAATCAATTGATTTCAAAATTATTCAAATATAAAACCGTTGATCAAACGTGAAAATTGGTTAGATCTATTTACACTAACACAAAATCAAACAATTCCCGCTGAATGTCTAACGATGATTGCAACATTCGAAAATTATATGACATTTGCTACGTCGATGGTGTCACTGAAACAAGAACATGGATCGGAAGACGATTTAAAAAAGGAATTATTCTGGGGTATTCCTGAACGAAGTAGAATGAAAATGACGTTTTTTTCGTCTTTATTTTTTCAGTAAAACTGAAAATAGAGGCATCGTTGGAATCAAATTTTTAAAATGCTGAACGAGAAAAACGTCATTTTCACCATACGTCCTTTAACAAACCCCAAGATTGAGATTCAATGATCTTTTACGCAAAGGTCAATTTGGAATCAACTGTCAAAGTATCATTTATATATCGAAAACATTACACAGTCACGTCGACAATTCATTGTATATACACATGAGTCATTATATATTTGAAAATAGTGAAGAATTACGAACACAAATACAAAATTACCTTGTCTCATCTGCACCCAGCAATTTTCATTTGGATGAAATCAGGGATCTATTTCAATATAATAATCTGTTTATCTTGCAAAACATCGATGATAAAACCTCGTTTCTGCTCAAATATTTGAATAGATCATTACTAGCTGACTTTACTAGTCGATCAATTGATTTTTATATCAAGTGGTTTGAAAACTTCATTTGTGATTCACATTACACGCAAACCAAACCTAAATATGATGATTTTCAACGTCTATTCGACGGCTGGCTACAACATATTAAACAAAATCCAGCATCCTTGTTCGATAGTATTCTTCAAACCATTGATCAATTATTGAGTAAACTGCCACAACCGTCAATGTCCGATGAACGAATGAAATATATTGTATGATCAATATTGAAATACTGTTTTGAATCGAGAAAAATGGAAAAATACATAATGAATATTATGTGTATCGATGTGAAAAAGAATTATTTTCTAAATGAATACAAAGCAATGTATACGACAGATGTTATTGAACCAAACCGAGCTAAATTGAAGCGGATGAGTAATGATAATCCACTGTATGGACTCGTACAAGAATATACAATAAAACCAAGTGATCTGTTGAAACAACTGATTGAATTGTGTACAACAAAGATCACAATCGACAGAAATTACGTTATCAAGGATGTACTCTTGGGTGATCGCCAATCATTTATTTCACCACTTCTATCCGAACCTTGTTTCAAAGGTACGCAGATTCATCAAACTGTCATCAATCTACTGCTCGTAATCGTTACGTCATGGTCACAGGATGGTATGAAATACGATGATTTACAAAGAGTGTTACGTTACAATCATAATCAAAAGATGAATTTCGATAAAGTTTGGGATTATCTGAATATGCATGCCACAGAGAAGATGAATATTGATCAGTTGATCGAAAGTACAACAATAGAAATGAATACTAAAATGAAAATAATCAATATAATTGATACATGTCTCAAGCTGTATTGTTCCAACTCAAATGACATAGAAAAATACGAATCAGCCTTGAACGATGTAACCACACAACTGAATGCCCGATCGATTCGATCCGTGAAAATACCCGATGGTCTAATGCAAATGCTGCTGTTTGCTAATTTGCATTAGAGGCTAAACTGTCCTCTTCTCATCGCTGAAACCCGCTGGCCTCCAGCTTTTGTCGTCTTTGAGTTAATGATCATACGCTAATTGGTGTGTCTGGTGTACAAAGAGTTAATGACTTTCCATAAACCTTTCGTTCTCTAAATCCCAAAAAGGAAAAAACTGGTAGTTTGCAAAACTAATTGGTCTTACACTTTGAAGTATCCTCTATCCGCTAATGACACTATTAAATACAGCCGTTTACTGTTTTTTGGGATAATTTTTTGAAAAAGAATGGTACAATAAACACCAGAATCACTCATATATATAATCTGCACTGTAAAAAGTTGAAAAATCTTCAAGTTCATTATGGACATAACGTTCGACTGAACAGCTTCGGTATTGTCTGAACGGTATCGTAAGAGCTGTGAATTTTGACCTACTGTTGTTATCAAGATCTGCAGTCAAGATTTTTTACTTGGGATTAGAAGAACTTAGATTTTTGAGAATGAAGGTTGCTAATATGAGACAAATGTTAAAAAATAAAGTAACTCCAACTGGAAAATTTTCTAAACGTTTACAGTTTGTCACAGGACGAGAAGAAATAATATTTATGGAACGAAGAGATTTGAAAGCTAGCAACACTTTTATTTTTATTTTCACTTTTTTTTCTAAAGTAACTGTCAGTCACTACCACTCCGTCTGACCTTGGCCACTATCACCTCTCATCTTCATTTTAGTTCCATGTTTTTTTTTCTGTTATTCATCATGTTATTAACTTGTAATTTAGTTTACTTTTCCATACTCTAGTATGGTTCAAAGCGAGGCCTGTAATGATTTTTTCGCAGGTTTTATTTAAAAAGAATCAATAACGACATAAACAAAAAATAAAAAAATAATAATAATAATAAACAAATAGAGACGAAACAAATGCGCTCATGCAATCCTATAAATTTAAAACGATTTCCTATATCACCTTTCGGTCGGCTTTGTCCAATTTAATAACTATTAATGATTGTCCTAAACCTCTCACTTTCTCATAACCAATGCATGTGGCAAAAGACAACGACGACGTTCACGACTAAAGATTTGCTTTAACCCAACGGTAAAGCAAACTCCAAAAACATGAAATTTTGAATATAATTTTTTTGGACAACAATTTACGCTCTAACTTTTAGATCGCCCACTGGAAAAAATAATCAAACTTCATGCAGGATCTCCGCGGGTTGTGTGTGCCAAAAAGTCCGGGAATGTTTCTTACCTTTACGCAGGATTCTTTTTCTTGTCATCCTCGAGGGGATCCTACAGTTTTCGCGGAGTGGCGTGGAAAAAATCCTGGGTAAAGGCAAGAAACATTGCAAGAGTTTATAACTTATTCAATCTGCAAGTTTTTTCCTACGAGATCTGGCAGGATTTTGTTCGTTGAAAGAAAAAGAATTTTGTGCCTGTCTATCCTGCGGTATACTGCAATCTTTTCTCACTGGTATCTGTACAGGGTGACTGTGAAGGAACCTGACTGAATTTTTTTATTTTGGGAAAGTTAAGTACTTTTGCATCTTTTTCTTGTAAAGTTATGAAAGCTTTTCTCGTGTCCAATAAACTTCTAGAAAATGTATAGCTTAATATTATGGCTTTAACACGCATTTTCATGTGTACACAACTAAACTATTAATAGATAGCTGAAAGGATCCTTTTTACGTCAGGAATATTCTATTTTCTTCCATCGATATGAAATTAAGGATATTATAATTATTCTACTACTGTGAAAAAAAGATGTAAATCAAAGTAGAGATATCGGACTATTCTAATTTCTCCTCCACGGTCACCCTGTACAGACATTGGTAAAAAAAGATTGCAGGATGCCGCGGGATAGACCTGGGAATAAAATCCTACCTGATCTCGTAGGAAAAATACCTGCTGACTGCCCTGTAATAATTTTTCTTGAAAGATTCCGTGTCTTTTCTCCAGGATAAAATCGTACAGACCTTGTAGGATTTGCGTAGTAAGATATCTTGTGTATTACAAGTGATGACAGGGAGGAAAAAATTCCGCAGGGTATGCAAAGTGAAGAATCTGCGAGATCCGAGGAACGCATGTAAAAGTTTCTGCATGGTATGTCTAGAAAAGAATTCTCCGGGATCCTGCAGGAAAGAAGTTCGAAAAGTGAGCATATTAAAGAATCCTGCACAACTATACTCACCAACTTGTAGGAAAATTTTCGGCGAGGTAACGTGATGTGAAAACCAACAGGATTCTTTGGGATTCCCGCGTTGGCACGTAGAAATTTGTAAATTTCTTTTCAGTGGGCGGTGTGGAAGTGTGCGGTATATGAATGGAAAGGTCATTGTGTCTGCTGTCAAATGAAGCCACAGAATCTGCTGCTGTATACAAAGTGTTTAGGTAGTCCTTGGTTTTTTTAGTGTAGATAAAGCGTGCCGCGTACAATACTTTTGTGTGAGAGATAATCGGTTTCAAAAAGGTGATCGAAACTCTTAATACGATCGTTGTATCTAACTTCTGTTGAAATATGTCATTCAAAGCGGTACTGATTTTCTGGCAGTAGGCTCTCAAAAGTAGACTCTCAAACTCTGCTGTGCTATTCATTAAATGTAAAACCTATCTCTCACCATATCTCGACTAAATATTTCTTTCAACGATGGTCACTTGTTATATACGGATTTAATTATCCTCCCAAAATGGACTGTTGTTTCATAACAAACAGCACTATAGCTGTGCACACTATCATAACGAGATATGGTAAACAACCAACCGCAATTATCATCTGGTCACTGCTGAACTTCGTCGTCGAGAATTTCAACGACTATTAAGACGACCGAAAAGTGGCTGATGCCTGATTGTAGAGCACGTTTAGAACTATAAATCTGCTTACTAGAATTTGCCTGGGAATACAGCCATTTTTCTTTTTGGTCGTCAAAAGTTTACCATTTTTCATTAATACAAGCACCACCGATCAATCGTTTATATTCAAAAGTGTAAGGAAAAAAGCTTTACAATCTTACCGCCTTTCTCAGTAAAAGGCAATATTTTGTTAGTTCTCCAAACAGTAGAATATGGGCTCTCAAATTTTTTCTGATTAAGCAGTTGTAAAAGGCATGACCTGAAGTATACGAATATATGCTTAGATACCATTTATATCACTTGTTTGTAGAGAACAATGATTTTCAAGGTGACCCTAACGTGCCACCTCTACCTCCCAAGGGTATAACCTTTTCGAAAAAAGAAATATATCTGAGAAGGGACTAAAGATAGCTGAATAAACGTGAAAGTTTCACCGAGTTTGAAGAACATTTTACATATAGTGGAAGGTTTCCCGTGGAATCACCCCTCTTCTTTCAAACGCGAAGTTTCTGGTTTTCGCGTTTGACCAAAACGGTGTCGACTCTTGCACTTTTCCACCACTCTGGAAAAACTTGAACGAAAAAAAGTTCTTTTGTGCATCTTTGTTTTCCATTGACCACCATCGCAGTAAAGTATAAACTGGCATTCTTTTGTAAGCGTGCCTCGTTAGGACGAACTAGCGCTGAAATTTCCTCATGAAAACTGAAGATATTTTATTTTGCGTGGACGGCAGAGTGTTCTTAAACATTCTATTTACTAAGTAATAATTCATTTGGTTATTGTATACAGTAACAAAAGAAATTACTGCTAATTTACTTCTAGTTTTACAATGCAACAAAATCACAGTAGTAGTAGAAGAATATGAATGAGAGAGAAATTTAAAGCAAAATTAGAAGATTTCATGCAATATGAAGAGGGCTGGTATATATGTTTACATAATGTTTTCTGGTACTCTTCTAATGATTGTGTGCGGTACTACTGCTCGATGATGAATGTTGGCTACTGCCACCAGTTGTTGAATGAGTTGTACCACTGTTTTCTGTGCGAGTTGTGGCACTTGTGCTACCGGATGTTGTTGCAGCATGATCAGTTGCTGTTGTTACACCAGTATTACCTCCAACGTGTGTTTGCTGTTGTGCTTGTGCGTTTGTTTTAATTATAGTTGTTGTTGATGAAGCTAAACGGTGTTGTGAATCTTCAGCTCCAACATTTGTTATTTGATCTGATACTTCAGCCATCTTTCGATTTGCTTGTAATGTTGCTTCATTTAGAACATTCATTTTTTGTTTTGTCGCATCTTTATTTGTTGCATCAATACGTAGTCGTGCATTGACTAAAATTTGTTCTTGTTGTACATTTAGTTTTTGTTCTAAACTAGCTAAACGTCGCGCTTTATCTTGATCTAACTGACTAACAAAAACTTGTAATTTTGCTTGATAGTCTTTATCAATCTCATCGGATTCATTTTGAGCGGCTGCAATTAAAGTTTTTTGTTGTTGTTCAGTTTCAGTTAGAATTTTGCTGACTTCTTCTTGTGCTTCAGCTGTTATTTGTTCTGTTCGATCTTTTGTATAAGTATCGATCTGCGTATGTGTCGAACCTAGATGTAAGTAAACAGAAAAGGTCAAACATCTCACTTGTACTTATTTTATTTCTCAGTATTATCATTTTACCTAATTGTTTCATGAGATTAGCCATTTTTTGTGTATTTTCAATACTAACTTTTGAATCTGCTTCGTGAGCCACAACCGACCGAACAATAACATTTCCATAGCTGGTTGATGTGCCTTGGTTTGATGACACATCTCCACGTCCTACTTAACCAAAGAACACACAAATGACTAAGAATAACTTTGCTCTATCTCATCAAGTCATGCTTTTAGTTTCAACTTCTCTAAACGGGTATGAAGTTATTTTTGTAGAATAAAACTTTATTTCCTCAAACGTGAAAATTGTTCGAATAACTTGCTTCGTTCTGTCTCTTTGCCAAGTGTACTACAAAGAGATCGGGTCGCAGCATAAACAGACTCGAGTTTGAGTGTAAAAAAATCAAATTTTTAATCCAGTTTCAAATTGAATAATCGAAGCAGCACGGCAAATGGTGGGAAGTCAACACTGTCGTTCAACTCACTCCTCCGATTCGAAGCTTTCTGTCGTTTTCTCATCGGTTCTCTCCGTGGCACCCCGATGGTCCACAGATCTCATGCTCATTGGGCCATAACGATTGGAGCCTTGGCCCAATAAGATTCCGAACTTTGTGGTTTCTCCAGCTGAAAATTTGAAAAATGGGTTTTATGGCCAGTCTCTTCTCGAATTATTTCAGTGTGGTTCAATCGGTTTTTTTGAACTAAGGCAGTTGGCCCAATGATAAAAATATCCTAGTTACGCCACTGTGTGCCTCGTCAAGTTAAGCTTTTCAATTATCGCCGTTTCATGTTGGGAGGCTCTACGGGATATCCTTAATTCAGCAAGTTCTTTCCATGAGCTACGGGCGGATACTAGAAAACATAGCGGAGTCAAAATAAAGATAGCTTCCCGAAGCGCGTCTCCGATGTCGTAGTTTTCTCACTAAAAGGTTTTCATTGAAAAAACTCGAAACTTTTTAGAGAAGTCAGCAATTCTGTCAATGTACACGTATATACTTTGTACCGTGTATATACAGACAAAGACTTGTTATTGCGGTCGTAGAGATAATACCTACGCGCAATTTTAAGATGAGAAGTAGTGAGAGGGTAGACACTCTTGCTTCCGAATAATTTGTTTTACACAATCATAAACAAAATATTTTACAAAAAACTGTTTTTGTTGGTCCATCTTTTGACAAAGCTTCAAAACAGTCAAACTCTTTAAAACGCCTATTGTTTTAAAATGTATATCTTTTAAACTGATTCCATATCAAAGAGACTAAAACTCATAGAAGTGTAGAGCATTGATTCTGCCGCTAAGTGCATATTAGAATTTGGTAAAAGCGTCTTCGATCTCCTGAAACATAACTTGTTTGAAACCGTCCATACATTATTTTCCTTTATCTTCTACGTTTAAAAGCTTCGTAACACCCACACAGCCCGAAAGGAAAATTTGAACGAAACTAACCTCGCGCATCACTATTGGCATCTTCACTGTTAGTAACATCTAAAAAATATCAAATAAATTATTCTTAAACTGACTATATCATTTGTTTCGATGCTTTACCGTTTGAGCCACTTCCGATTCCAGTGATACTAGGAAAAACGAGAACGATGATGTATCGACGAAAGGACAGAATATATCTATTTTAATTTACTTGTGAATGGCTTCTCCTAATTTACCACCAACATAATGTGCTGCAGAACCCGCTGCACCAGCAACTGTACTTGCCGCCGATCCAGCAGCTCCAACGACTGTGCTAGCTGCACCTGAGACGGTGTTCATAACACCCTAAAAAAGACAATATGTGAAGGTGATATATACCAAGCATTTATTCGGATATGCCTACCACTCCATGTGTTGATTCATCTTTGCTTGTCGATGTATGACTTGTTGTATCTGTTGATGAACTGGTTCTATTATTCGACGACATTCTTGTGTATATGTATTAGTGAGAAGAGAAAATAACTAAATTGCTTAAAACTAATAAATTATCTAAAAACTAAGTTAAGATTTTTCTAAACACTTTTAAGTTGTTTGCAAAAAATAAGTACACACACACCAGTTATACTATGGCTTTTATAATGGTCAGAGTTGTAATGTACTAATTGACTTATACAAAATAAAATTCCTCTCTCGCTTTATCTTACTTTTCTATTATCTGTTGTAGTAGAACAAACAAAAAAACAGTAAAAGATAGCCCAAAAAAAATGTTCTTTTTACTTCATTTTTCTTGATGGCTTTGTCCGATTAGTCGACGATAAGAAGGAAAACGAGTAGTAACACTACAGTTGAAGAATAAAAGGATAAAAGTATTAGTATATAGATAAAAAAAAGAGTCCAAATATTAACATCAAAATTTTTGGTCTTACGTCACTACAAACATTTTTACTTTTTTCGTCCATTCTTATCATATTAACATGATGGATGTACAGTATTCTTGTTTTTCTCTACTTTTGATAGTCATATACATAGTTCAGGACTAAATTTATGATGAAAAAGGTGAATATGAGAAAGCAATGAGGAGATTTCTAGATGCAATGAGTATAGAAGAAAAATATTATAAGAGCGATAAAACATGACATATTTCTATAGGTTGATGCATCATCAAAGATTACATAAAATATCACGTGGTGGTTATAAAAAAAGACCTTGAAGTACTTAAGCATGATAAATTGTGTGTTAAAAAGTGCAAGCGGAGTTGATTGTGTACATCGTCAAGAACGGAATAAAACATCACATGACGGTTATCAAAAAAATGCCTTGAAGAACTTAAACATGATAAATTATGTGTTAACCAGTGCATCAATAGTGGGCATTTTTCAATGGCTTTCGTTCGTCAATGAATTTATTTAAATGTTTCAAAATTTATTGATAAAAGTATCGAATATATACAAAAAAAAGGGAAATTCGATTTAAAGTGTATCTTTCAGCTTCTTGTAAAAATTCGATCATCAGACAAAATTTTCCGGCATATAATAAAATGACATAGAGAGAAGGACAAAAAGATATCCACAAAGAGGATAAAATAAATCCGTAGAGGTCTCATTGTAAAAATTGAGCGAGAGAGAAAACTTTTACGTATAAGTTCGCTCATAAATATAGTAAAGTAGAGAGAAAATATTTGAGATTATTTTAAATGTACTTCTTTTTTTATGCCCGTGCAAATGGGCATGTGTAGTATATACATTTTGCATTTGTCACAACTGTAGTTTTCATTACGTAAGTGTTCTGTTATTCCCTACTTCCAGTTTACTGTCTGTATTATCTAATTTTTCATTATATTTATTTTTCAGATTTTGTTTGAAATCTGAAAAAATACGCTTCATCACACTTTGCTCATGCAGAAAGAAATGTTATTTTCATGGTTGGAGGCCCCTTTTCTAGCTCAAGTCAAATAATGCTGCTTTTTGTCTGTACACTGAATTGTAGAATATATTGTAATAACGACGAGGCCGAAGAAAAATTTGAAAAACATTGTGAAGAAATGTTTGTGTGTGAGTGGTTTTTATTATTATTCATTCTGTTATAAGATGGAAAGATTCAGAACAAAAAAGAAAATGGATCCACTTACATAGATTCTCTCCCACTCTTATCGCACGTATATTCGTGTTCTCTCCAGTTTACTTACTCTAAAAATGCCATAAGAAAAAAGTTTTAGTTTTGGTATGAAAATCATAACAGATAAGATACCGTTTACAGGAATTCGATTCATTTCAAAGAACAACAAGTCCAAATATAAAAGGATGTAGAAGGAGTGACATGTAATGGAAACAGACAAAGTCGAGTACCGATTGTTAGTCAAAGAGTCTCTGTTAATAACATCACTCAATTCTGATTTGAATTTTGTAGTTACTATCCGTCCCAAAATACATGGCCGATGGTTATTTTTTGAATAACTCAAAAGCAATAAAAGATAGAGACTTGCGATCTTCATCATTCGCTAGCCAAGACCTGTAGTGATGCTTTCATAAGTAAAACTGAATTAGTGAACAGTTTCAAAGACCAATTTCTCAGAAGATTTGTGGAAAACCAGTTCGGTTCTCCGAAAGCTGACATAGAAATTTATAAATTTTTTTCATAGATACATCTTAGGAATCCATGACTTGGGAGCAGTGGACATTTTCCTGAAGTCTTAGCCGTCCTCTGCCGTTAGATTCGGTGCTATCAGAAATGAACGAGAACATAGATCAGCGACTACGCTGAAACTCGTGGCAATGTTAGTTTTCAGAACAAAATGCAAGACTGAGTGAAAATCTATACTCCGGTGAAATAGTGCATTTTTGATTATTTTTGTCGAAAATTAAAAACTCATAATTCAGTAGAAATCCATCCAGACTACTTCAGAATCTCAGGAAATACTGTATTTTATTCGCTTATCCTGATTCTGTACATAAGTCAATAAAAAATATTCTCTTAGTTCCAGAGGTTTTTACGAAACCTTTCCAGCAGTGGCAGACTTCCTACAATTCCAGAATTCTACTCCCGTACAGCAGAATTGAATATGGATCCAGCAGAATTGAACAACGATGTTTACGTGCTTCTAAACATTCAATTCTGTCTCATCATTCTTTAATTCTGCTGCAGCTATGTTCAATTCTATTTCAATTCTGCTGTGAAAATATTCAATTCTGCTGGCAAGAATTCAATTCTGCTTGACTTTGTCGGTCGACGTACTTCTAAACATTCAATTCTGTCTCATCATTGGAAAAGTAAGTACACTAATCAAGTTAAGCAGAATTGAATTCTTGCCAGCAGAACTGAATATTTTTACAGCAGAAATGAAATAGAATTGAACATAGCTCCAGCGGAATTAAAGACTGATGAGACAGAATTGAATGTTTAGAAGTACGTCGACCGACAAAGTCAAGCAGAATTGAAT